AAAATAAAAATTAGTTTGCAAAACATAGCTTGTCTATTTTCGCTTTAAACTTATTTATGGACAGTGATTCAACAACTCAACTGAAGTAGACAGTTTATTCCATAATTTTAACACTTAAGTGGTAAAAAAAAAATCTCACAAAAATCATCTTCGAAATTAGTATCAATAATACTGTGATGATCTGATCTTTTTAATATAGCTTCCTCATAACTTATTTTAGGAGGACTGTGCTAAATTTAAAAAGCATAATCGATTTTCATAAAATAGATATTGAATATTCGGTATCAATTTTGTCGCTCGTATTTGTAAGTTTTCAATGAACTTTTATCTTTCTACATGTGATTTGAACAAACTTAAACTGCATTTTTAAAGTATAAAAAAATTTTTTAATGATTGATTTTCAAGAGAAATAGTTTCGAAATTTTTTTAAACAATTTAACTCTTTCATTCAACAATTTGGTGTCATTCAACAATTTGGTGTCATGAACAATCGAGATTAATTAATCTTCTATTGATTTTATTTTACCAGCCTGAACTTTTTTCCATTTTTTAAACAGGTGCAACAAATAAGTCAAAATCATCTTTTTGCATATTAACCATTTATAATTAGCTTTTTGCACAAAATTAAAAAGTATGAATATAACCTCGATAAATTTGGTTTTTTAACATGTGATATTCAACCAGATGTAAACAAATACACACCAAAAACATGAAAATACGACTATTTTTCTTTTATTGCATATTACATATGTTGCTATTATTTGATAACAGATCATTACACTTGTATGATAAATGCTTATATAATGAAAAAAAATCTTTAACATGTTTCATGGATTCAGTAATTAATAATAAACTCCATTATTTTAAGAAAAGCAACTCGACTGAACATGCTTTTCTTCAGGTAACACATTGCATTAATGAATCTTTCAAAAATACTAAAAACATTTGTGCGCCGTGCGGAGATAAAACTCTAAGTTCTCTCTAACTAAAATCAATTTGTTTTTAATAAAGATTCCCTATCACAAACATGAGTGAGCATAGTATATGGTATACTACAAGTATCCCTACTTAAACAATATTTGAATTCTGTACAAAACTTTTTAAATAAAAAATAATAAACAAAACTATACTCATATATTCGCTGTCACATAAATTACGCAAAAACTTTTAAGTGAGGTACATGTAAATTTAAACTGAATAAAAGAAAGAAGTAAAACTAAACTTTACTTAAGAAAGAAGTAAAACTAAACTGAACATAAGAAATAGTTGCTCACAAATCTGAAAAACTATTTTTCGAACTCCGAACCATTTCGAAATTCGAACTCCATTTCTAAATGAATAAACGCCTTAAATGTTTGTCAACTAAATGTATTTAATGTTTTGTGTTTTATGTTAAAATAACTTATGCCTATAAAAAAATGTATTTTTTCAACAAAAAACATTCTTAATTTTTTTTTTATTTAAAAATTTTTTTTCAGTTATCGTGCTACATATTTGGATGGTTAAGCGCCAGACCTCCCTATACAACGAATTTGTTGAAACGAGATAATTAGACGCTAAGTTTAAAAGTCTTTAACAAAAGCGACTAAACCGAAAAAAATCAAAAGTATTTGCAGTTAAGTGCACTTAAAAATTTTAATCATAGTATATAGGTGTTAGCAAAATAACCCTTCATAAATCTTTTTTTAAAATAAAATCATTTTTTTCAACTTTGTTGAATTGTTGTTGCGCTCAACCATCCATTTGTAACACGATAACTAAATTATGAGTTTAATTTTGAAAGTATGTAAAGTAAAGGGTATTTAAATCTGAATTAGCTTTTTAGTTTTTTTAATTAAACCCCATTTTTTTCAAAATAAGCAGATACTTTTTATGTTAAAGTAGACACTTGGCAGTTAATAATGGAAAAGAATGTCAGATAAATGACCACTTCTTGCAGTCTTCCAATCATTTAGTAAAAAATTTCAACACATAAAGACATAATTGTGGTTCAATTTGAGTAACTTTCTTTATTACGTTTGTTTTCAAATGTTGAGGATTGTTACCGTAAATTTTTCTTTTCGAAAAACCCCATAAAAAGAAATCTAATGTTGTTAGACCACATGATAATGGCCATTTAACAGTTCCTTTTTGAGAAATTATTCGATCGCCAAATTTCTCATTTAAAGGATTGATTGCTTCTGTTGCTGTATGACATGTTGTACTGTTTTGTTGAAATCGTATATTCTGCATACCAATATGCTCCAATTCGTCAAACAAAAAGTTACTAATCATTGTTCGATAACGAGCACTATTCACAGTAACGGTGTGTCCAGTTTTATTTTCAAAGAAATATGGAACAATTAATCCACCAGACCAAAAACACCCCAAACAGTTACTTTTTGTGGATGCAGTTGTTTTTCCTATAATACTCCTGGATTTTCTTTACACCAGATTTGACAATTTTGTTTGTTTACATACCCACCAATTTTAAAATAAGCTTCATCAGTAAAGACCACTTTGTTAAAAAAATCATAGTTTTCTTCTTTTGCTGAAGTAACCTAGTTCATAGTTTTAGGTGAAGATTCTTATGCAAAATACTAAATAAAGTGGTTTGTTTTATGCCTAATTGCTGAGAACGAAGACGAATTGACTGTTTGGCTCTTTAATAACACATTCAATGACAGCAGCAATATTTTCTGATGAACAACCACTACGACTGTAAATTTTATTTTTTTTTATCTTCAATTGAACCACTTTCCTTAAATTTATTGAGAATATTTCGAATGGTGGAGTTTGTTGCATTGACGGATTCTGCATTTTTTGGTGTTTGAGATAGCAAACTTCCAGATATGGAGCAAACTCCAAACATTTGTAAGTTAATATGCAAGACCAACCTATGACCCGTTTCTTTTCGTAACTTGTATTTACAAAGAGATAGAAATAAATATATTCTAAGGAACGATAACTTAATTCGACAACCATTTTCTCAAACTAATTTTGGAAAATTTTTTATTTCATTTCGCGGACCATTTTTATGGGATAATATAGTTCTAAATACTTCTAAAGATTTTTCTCAAGAATGTAATTTTGATTCTTTTAAACAAAATCTTAAAAAACTCATTTTTTCAACTGAAAATATACTAATCTCCTTTTAAATTTTTGAAAATCACTTGTCTATATTAGTATATGAATATATTTAATGTACATTCTTTTTTATTTATTTATTTTTTTATCAACAAGCAATTTTTTTAACATGTTTTATTTTAGTGAATTATTTAACATGTTTTTGTTTTTAAGTTTTAGAACTCTTTTATTGTAATATTGTATGTTTATTTATAATATTATATTACGAACTTTATATACTTTTATTAATAAATTTAATTTTGTAATAAAAAGAAACTGAACAAAAATAAATAAATACAAAGAATGAAAACATTGAAAAAAAATAATAATAATAATAATAAAAAAAAAAAAAAAAAATTAAAAAAAAAAAAAAAAACGTTCAAAAGCGGTTTCTCTGTGACAAGACCTGATAGTCTTCTTTGAGTATCCGCGTTTTCCTTATATTTATTAATATTCTTTATATTATTATATTATTCTTAACGATATCTTGACTTGTTACCTTTTCTTTTTTTATTTTTTATATTATTTGTATCTGTATCATAAATATTGTAATAAAGAACAAAAAAAAAAAAAAAAAAAAAAAAAAAAAATATATATATATATATATATTTATGTCAAATAATGATGCTTTGCAAAAAATTACAATGATTGGAGGCAGGGAACAAAAAAGATTTAAAATTTCACCCTCTAAACCCCAAATATGAGGGCAACAAGTTGATAAAATATTTTTTGTACTATTCTCAACTAGACTTATATTCATCAAAAATTTTAGGTTTTATATTATCTCTCAGCGTTATGACAATATAAAATTTATAACCCCCTAAAATTGGGGGGGGGGTTAAACTTTATATGGTCATAATTTTTAAATCTCAAACACCAAAAAATGCAAACCAAATTTTAGTACAAAAAATACAAATAACGCAAATTTAAAAAATTTTATTTGAAAATTAAACACCTTGTATTTAACAGTGATATATTTAATGGTTATATATAAACATTTTGTAAGGAAAATACATATCCATTTAAAAATAATAAACAGTAAATCAAGAAACAATAAATAAATTTAAAAACAAGATAGACAGTGATTATTTTAAAAAAAATCAAGGCTATTATAATGCAGCTTAATACAGCATTTCGTTTTTTTTTAAATCCATAGCTTCAGCCTTTTATTATTATTATTATTATTATTATTGTTATTATTGTTATTATTATTATTATATTGTTCAGACAATGGACTTTTTATTGTAAATGGCATCGTAATTAAAATATTCTTGAAGTCTTGCAAAAACTTTTATTTTATTTTATTTAGGTGCCCCAAGAAGTCCTTACGATCTCATCACAGGGCACCGTCGATGAGCATTTAATCGAAAGTTCACGCCACCTTCCAAACCGATGTTGCAAAACTTGCCCATAGGTGGGGTTTGAACCAGGGATCCTTTGTTTTTGAGGGAAGTGCGCAACCACTGCGCCACGGTTGCTTAAGATTGTAAATTTTGTTGTAAATATTGTTATATGGCAAATAATATGTCAATGTCCCGCTAAGTTTGTTGCTAAATAATTAAGTCGATGTGTCCACTTACTGATGAGTACACTTACTGATGAGTACACTTACTGCGCCAATTTCAATCAATAAAGCAAAAAAGACTTTATTTCTTAACCTAATGTATTTTGTGGAAAATATATATTTTAAACAGATAGAAAACAAAGTTTTGCAAAAGAAAACAGTTTAGTTTAATTTATTTATTATATCATTTTTTATATAAAAAAAAGCGATGTTGGCTAATTATTTTAACACAAATCTAAAACATAAAAAAGTAAAAATGCAAAATTTAAATTAGAATTGATATTTCATCTTTAAGTCTTGTTAAAAATCTTATGAAAACTAGAATTTAAATATTTTTTTGAAAACTAGAATTTAAATATTTTTTTGAAAACTAGAATCTAAATATTTTTTTAATTTTTTTATAAAAAGATGACCGAAATTCTGGACTCACAAATGCATATACAAATGGATTTACTGCTGAGTTTGAGTAAGATAAAACATTGCTAATATCAAACGCAAGTCTGTTGAAACAATTAAGGCAATACGGAAGCAACATCATTTGCAGATTATATGGAAACCAGGTTATAACAAAGACCAATAGTATACGTATTATTACTTTTAATGATTTCTTATGTCTTATAAGATCTTTTTGTTTTAAGAGATAACTTGTTTTCAAATTCTTGACACTTTCATTGCTCTGTTTTTTTTTAAGTTTAACATCGTTCGAAATTTCAGCTTTTGAGCCGTCTAGCGTTACTGTAGAGCCTTCAGTTATTAAAATACGGTTGTGATAACGGTTGTCATAACAACACGCGGTAGGTATAATCTTATTTTGAATTTTTATTAAAAAATATATTTTTATATATATGAAGATTACAACGGGAAGAACAATAAAATACCCCAATCCAACAGACGTTATAAGAATGTAGGCGTCAAAGCTGTAAATGCTCATTTTATCAAATCTTAGAAAACCTTTATAACATAACCTTTCGGATGATCTTCCAAAAGCATACTTATTTATTGTTATAGATGGTGCCCATAAAAAGAAAGATACCATCCAAAGGAGCAGTATGCTTAATTTCATAGCATATTTTCTTCTGTCTCCTCGATGTTTTAAAGGTTGTTTAATTAATAAATAACGATCGATACTGATTATTATTATATGATAAATTGAAGACTGACAGCATAAGTAATCTAAAACTAAAGTAAATTCACAAAACAAATTAGTAAAAGGCCAATACCCTAAAACTGCTTCAAGCGTGTTTGCGTTTATTGGATAAAGTCCGACAATCAAATCTGCCACTGAAAGAGAAAGTAAAGGAAAGTTATTGACGGTTTGTAGTCTTTTGTTAAAAAAATAAAAGTAAATAACCAATAAATTTCCTAACGTGGCCAATACACTCACTATGCATGTTAGAAAAATTAAAATGGTATCATAAACTGAGACATTCTGTTCTAAATATTCAATTTTTAGGCTTGCGTTGTAAGAAAATGTGGAGTTTTCAAAATCTGAAGCCGATAAAAGGATCAAAATAGCTCTAGCATTTTTAACAGATGACATTTTCCCTTTGATAATTCATCATTGTCCATTCAATAATTCAAAAGATTCAATGTATGTTTTTCCTGCTGCTTAAGACATAATATGATTTTAAAACTGAATAAGTTTGGCATCCAATTTAAAATAAATAATCAATATAAAACAAAAATAAAATTTAAAAAATACTATTTTTATAATTATTAATTAATATTATCTAATAAATAATTAACTAGTAGTAGTAGTAGTAGTAGTAGTAGTAGTAGTAGTAGTAGTAGTAGTAGTAGTAGTAGTAGTAGTAGTAATAGTATAACAACCTGCTACATAGCAGTATGCAGCAGGTTGTTATTTAAGTTACATGATTTTTATTTTGAAAGTTATTAGGCATGTAATAAATAATGAAATTCGTAAACTTGTTAGAAACATTGGTATAGCATAACACATTTTGTTCCTTTTTATTTTCGCAACTGTAAATGACATTTAAAATAATAAACTTAATTGTCAGAACTATAAAGGAAATTTTTTCTTGTTAATATACATGTATACTACACAGTAGTGAAATTTCCTTCTTATTAAAATATTATAAAAACATATATTTTTTTTTTAGATATAGAGTTAAGCAACAATTTAGTAGCTTTTTAAAGCGCGCGTTTTTATTTTATTTTATTTCATTTCACCTCCCCAAGGACATGAAGGCTTCTACAGTTGAGGAGGTTACTTTAATTGCGGTTAAAAATCTCTCTCAACTTTAAAACTCCGAAACAACAACCTTGACAAACAAGCCCGTCTTTTCCAGAAGCTGATTAAATATTGAAACTATTAAAAAATATTAAAACTGTTAAAAAATATTAAAACTGTTAAAAAATTTTAAACTGTTAAAAAATATTAAAACTGTTAAAAAAATATTAAAACTGTTAAAAAAATATTGAAACTGTTAAAAAATATTTCAACTATTAAAAAATATTGAAATTTTTAAAAAATACTTAAACTATTAAAAGCAATTTGAGTTAGTAATGGATTTAACTGCATGTCGCCATTAACACAATAAAACCTCATGTTGACGCCGACATGTCACGTTTGATTTTTTTAGTTTTGTTTTAGGTAACCTAAAGAGACCTAACGGTCTTGTCGCAAATCACCACGGAACAACATTTACCTAGAAAGTTTACTCCTTCCTTCCTTACCGATGACGCGAAAACATATCCAGATCTAGCATCAAACTTTGGATTTTTTGCTTTTAAATTAATAAATTAAATCTCTGCGCCTCGGTTGCTTAAAAGAAAAGCTTTATTTAGTTAGACCCCGTAATATATATCCTCCAATTTATTATAATATATATATCCTCCAATTATATAATATATATCCTTCATTTTAGTAAGCTTGAAATATTGTCAATTAATTATAAAAGGCATATAAAAAATTATCAAATTTCACTAAAATGACTAATTTAAGATTATTAAGGCCATCATCCTATAAAGTGCTTTACTGTATTTTTTACATTTTTATTATTAGGCAGTGAAAATGTGAGCATTAAATTTGGTCTCAAAGAATTGTTAATCTTTAGATTTATTTTAAATTTTTCTACGAAAAGTACAAGAGAGCCATTTAAATTTTTTTTAAATGGCTTTGACGTCTATCTTACATGATGATCAGAACCCACATAAGTAATACGGAAATCCTTTAATATGTCCACTGAAAAACTCCACCAGTTCTCAATAGCTTTCACAAGAAAAAGTTCTTTCCTCCAAGCGTTACATTTCTCATTTCTTAATTATAAGTGCGTGTTGAAATATTAACTATTTGGATCATGAATTCAGCTCCATACTTTAAAATCTTTTAAAACAGTGGACTAAGGATAAATCCTTGGGGGCACTCCACTTAAAACATTTAATACACCAACATTGTATATTGCATACATAATATTTTCTATTGGTAAGATTAATTAATAAAAACTTTTAATCCAATTGTAAGTTTTATTAAATATACCAGAGTAGTAACAACCTTTATAGAACCCAGTCTTTCATTGATACCAACACGTATACAACAGAATTAAAAAGGTGCTTTTCCTAAAGAAATACATCTTATTTACTACTATGATAAATCAGTGTGACAAAGAACATCTTTTTCAAAAACGCTCTTAAATATAAACTTTTTGCCATTGTAAAACCTATCTATAGAATGTGACCTGTTTGTGACATCAATGTAAGTGTTTTCCTGCGTTTTTTATCTTCATCATCAATTTTATTTATTTCATAATTTCTAACACCTTACAATTAAAAAAATTTCTTTTTTCTAGTTGTTAAGTTGCTTCAAGATGTTCTTACGGTCTTATCGCAGTTTTTCTTATGTTCTTATCGCAGTTCTTCTTATGTTCTTATCGCAGTTCTTCTCACGGTTTTATCGCAGTTTTTCTTATGTTCTTATCGCTGTTCTTTGTTTGCTATTTTCGCACAGCGGTATGTCGTTTTTTTAAATTCAAAGTGATTTTACTTTTTATTCATGATTAACAGTTTTTGTACATTCACAGCTGACTCTTAATATCTCAAAGACTTGATATATCAAACTTTTGTGTATTTTGAACTTTTTTTCCTGGTCACTTGGACATTACGTACTTGTTTGGGTAAAAAACTTATGGTATTTCAATCCTTCAAGATCACAAACCTTTTGGTTTCGAACAACTTGTTCAGCCCCCTGTCTCGTTATCTGGAACTTTTCAACAATATACTTTATCAAATACTTTGATAATATTATATAATTTTTTAAATTCCAGTTTTTGAAAAGTATTCCTTTAAAAAACAAATAAAACTTTATTAAAACATGATAACGTGCCTCTAATTCAACGAAAAATCATTATTAAATCTATTATAGAAAATGCAAGGCATTAAAAGACCTTGAAAATGTCTAAAAAAGTGTTTTTGTAAAAGTATGCTTTCCCAAAAAACACAATATTGACCTGGAATAAGAATAAAAGCAAGTTATTAACCTCGCTGAAAAAAGTGACACAAAACCTGAATTGATGTGGATTGTGATGTAGTAACCAACTGTTCACCAGCAACTGATGTAGTAACCAACTGTTCACCAGCAACTGATGCTGAAACTGTTGCTCAGATTTTGAAAACGAAGAGATGAAGTTTAAGAAGTGTTAACGAAGGTATAAACGTTGAAGCTCCACCTCACCCATCTGATGTTCAATTAGAAGATGGTTTTTTAAATGCTTTAAAATGTTTTGCTATACAGCCTAAAATATGAAAATGAAATAAGATCTCTAGCAATATATCTTAAAGATCTAATGAAGATGGAAAGAGATATATAATTTGAAGCTATGCCAGATTTTTTCCAAAAATTGTAGCTTTTGTTGTTAATAAGTTTTGTCAGACAGAAAGTAAGCTGTTTTTAGTAAATATCAGGCAATTTTACTTATTTTAACCTCTTTCTTGATAGCTCGAAATTTTTTCTTGTTTCCATTAGAGTTCGAGATATCAAAAAATATTCAGTTCAGGTAAAGGGATCTCAGAATATTAGGTGTTTTTTAAGATTCTGCTAAACTCCAAATATTTGAGCATATACTTTGTTTTTACTTCTGTAAGTTAAAAAAACACACCTGTTAGATTGCCAAAAAGTTTTAGTAGTTACAGTTTTTATATGTGTATACAGTTTTTATATGTTTTTAAACAAATATTTAGGACATGCTTTTTTCGTTCGGGACCTCAGAATGTCAGATTAAATAAAAGGTAGCATTGTTGCCAATATTATTTCGTTAATCATGAATTTCTGTATATATTGTTTATTTTTAATGCTGAATATATTTTTAAATGGTTGGTTTGTTTATCTTTTTTACTTTTTTCATTCCACCACACAATGCTAGGTTAAGGGGCCTCAAAACGCTAGATAAATGAACGTTAATTTATATATATATATATAAAAGTTATTTGCAATCAATTTCTTCTTGACGTTATAAAATGGATATCCATTACGAAACCTCTTTCAAAACACACTTTAGTTTGTTTTTTTTGTTTGTTTTTGAACAAATAAATAAATTAAACTAAAGTGCGTTTTCTACTTTACGATGTAAATGTGTTTTTATATTCCTTTGCAGTAGAGAATAAATAAGAAATGGGAAAGTTCTTTAGAATTAAACCAACAAGCAAATCAAGATACAATGTTCTAAGAGATGTCATAGTGATGAAAAGTAAGCAGTTAGAGGAAGCAGTTGAGTAGTGCCAAATTAACAATAAACGTAGTTGGGTTGCAATTAATTCAGGAAGATTTCCACTAATTAAAGATCTTAATTAACGAGAAGGAATATTGCTCAATTTTTAAAAAAGATGAAGAAGAATCGTTAGTCTGTTATATAAGAAACAAGAATAGGTAATATGTACATATAGTTGAAAAATAATTCTATTTTTAATAAACTGTTATTATCTGTAATAAATTCCTGATTTTCATATTGTTAATTAAGAAAATTAAGCTCATACTGTTTAGTTTTCTTGTATTGTTGTTTAAATAATTTATTTAGGTGCCTTCAACGTTTAAACAAGTCGGAGTTGACAAGGATAATGTTAAATGTTTTGGAAGTAAGAAAACAAGCCTGTAGAGACCTCCGTGGACGTCAGATTACTAAGTCATCACCAAATGCTCAACGAGCACTTCAAACAAAGACGCTTAGCAAGTCTTTTTGGAAGCGTTGGGATGCAAAGTATCAAAAATACATTACCAAAAAGAGACAAGTATCCATGAATCGCACCCTTAATTGCACAAAAGAAATGGCATGTAACCACCTCAACAAATTAGCGGAATATTTTTAGATACAATTAGAAACAGGTGTATGGCATGGAGATATAGATACCACTAGAATTTATAATCATGATGAAACCCCTCAGTTTATAAACTATGGAGTTGATGGTACTCCAAATGGTTTAGTAATGTATAAAGGAGGAAGCTAATAAAGAAAGGAAATCCAAGTAAAACAACAAATTGAGGCATTCTTTAAATGTAAGGAAGAATGTACCTGTGGAAAGAATGTTTGTGCAGCAACTAAGATTCGAGAACGCTCGTTTTGCCATAATGTTTTGAAATCAACATTTGGTAAAGCATCATGTCAAGGTGAAACAGGCCAAGGATAAATGCAAACAAAACCAAATGATCAAACCTTTTTGTGAAATAAGACCCAAAAAATGCCTTCAGTTTGAATCTGATGTAGATAACGTTGAAGACTTCATTCCTTTTTACTGATTTTATCCAGAATACAACCTATAATTCTCTATTTGCTGATATTTAATTGAAGTTTACCAGGATCTTATTTTTATATTTTTTGTTCATAAAATTTCTTTTAAGTTTGTTAATGTTATTAAAAAAAAAAATATCAAAATTAATCACTGAAGTTAGTTATATAGTTTTTGAATTGGTACCTCAAAACGTTAGGTGGAGCACCTCAAAATGCCAGGTATTTTAAAAAGTAATTTAAAGTAAATTGGATTTGTTCTGTGCCCGCATCTTTTTAGAGTCTTTTTAGAGTTTTTGGAGTCTTAAGGCAACATTTCTTATAAGGTTCTGCAAACTTATTTTTAGAAGGGCTTGAACTAAGTGTTAATAGCTTGTAGATTTTTTAAATGTAATATTTTTTTTATTTATTACAACATTATATTCTTTATTCAGATTATTCAATGCTTTCAGAGTTTATTTTAAAAAATTAAGTTCTTTGTTGGTTTATTTCTAACCTGACATTCTGTGGTCCCACTGCATTCTGAGGTCCTTTTACCTGTAGGCACGGGACATAAACAAGCTGCCATTTAAACGTTCAAAAGTTGTTCAAAACGTTCAAAAAATGTTTAAAATACGTCTTTTTACGTTCCGCGCCCACTGGGTAACTGTAACAAAAAGAACCTTTCTATTGTTGCGAGTTTACAATTTTTATTGACACCAATAACAAATATTTATTTTAGTGTACAAGAAGCAACTGTGTTTTTTTTTTTGAAATAATTAAGACTAGGAAATTTTAAATACTTTTTTTTTTTATTATTATTTGATTAGGTGACCTGGACCAACATCCTCTTTGAGGACGGGGTACACAAATACATTGAACTTTATCATTTATTTTTTCCACAAATGAATTACATTGTTATACATTTTAAATTATGTGGTTAAAAAATTGTTCTTTTGACTTGTATGAGTGTTTCACTAAAACTTAAATACAAAACTCGTCGAAAAAATCGTTGGCCAAATCGCTGTCTTTATTGTTGCAAATATCGCTAGCTAGTCGCTAGTCGATATCCTGGAAGCCTCTGAATGAGATATAACACCAAAGCCTAAGTTAGCATGTTTATATATTTATTAAACTTTACAGAATGCTTTGTATATTATTGTATAAAATAATTTATGAAGATCATTTGTCAATCAAATGGAACAAAATATTTTTGCATTTACTAAATATATTTAAATTTCATATAAAAATTTAGTTAATTACTATTTTTTTTTTTAACAAAAAAAGTATTAAATTTTTACTATATAACAAATGTAGAGAAAAAAAGTTATAAAGAAAAAAATAAAACTTTATAAAAATTAATAAAAGTTATAGAAGTTACAAAAACCTCTTTAGAATTTTTTAGAATATATAGAACACATGTTTCATAAAATGCATTTTAAAACAAAAGATGTTTATTTTCTGGACACGCTAAGTAAGTAGTTGTTATTTTCAATAAACACTTTTTAAATTAGGTTTTATGTAGCTATAAAAGTGTTTATAAAGTACAACCCTAGCAAACCTTTTGTTAGTATTTTAAAGAAGAATATAAAAGTTTTACTTTTATATTTCCTTTCGATTTTTTTTTTAGTTTTTAAGGCTTTAACAGACCCATCGGTCTTATCATAAGGCCCTGCGGAGGAGCACTTTACCCTCTCCTTCTGTACCAATGTCGCTTATCGGGCTAGAGCAGGCGTCGAATCATGAAGTTCTTGGTTCAAAGCCAGAACTCTAACCATTGCACCACGTCTGTTTACTTTCATTTTTTTTGAATAGTTTAAACCTTATCATTTATTAGAATAAAATTTAAAAAAAGATATTAATATAAATGATAAGGTGCTGGAAGATTCTGTTAATCTCTAACTAATCTTAGATAGCAGATCTCAGATAGAAAAGTTGCTGCTCTACAATGATTTTAAGTATTAAAATTTGCTGCTATTAATCGCAGGTAGTAGATCGCAGATTTTGAATCTCAGATTATCGGCCATGTCACCGATGTAAAAACGTGTGTTTCAGAATCGAGAGACCCGAGGTTCGATGTCCGCTCCGGCCATATTTGCTACAAAGGTAAATAAGGAAACGTGAACTTTTTGGTTAAAAAATTTTCCGCGGTGTTCTATGATAAGACAGTTAGGTCCTCTTTGAGCAACTTTTATAACCAGACAAACACACACACACATACACAAAAGTATATTTTTACTTGTTATCATGGTAAGTGACTTATCGTAGTAAATGTTTATAAAAGTTACAGTATACCTCTTAAATAAATCTTTTTTTATTGTTGTATCGTCAAAGACTGGTCACAGTAAAACATTTAATATCATATTTTACAGTTAATACAGCAAAAATATCAAAATACCTAAAACACCAAAATATCTTGTAACATAAAAAATCTTGTAAAAATAGTCTACATATTAAAAAAGTTTGATAAGAAATCATTTATATTCTTTAAAACTAAATAATTTATTTTAAATGCTATAAAGAAAACAAATGTTTCTGTAATTAATTTAATATTTAGACAATGTTAAAGCATAAAATGTAATAATAATGAAAAGGTTGTATTTATAGGAACAATAAAAAAAAAAAAACTTTTGAGTGGATGTCTCTGTACGCGCGCGTGTGTTTAAAAATTGTGTAAGATTGTTTCAACCACCTGCTTTCTAAACGGCCAACGACTTTTGGCCAGGGCTCTAGTAATTGGCTTTATTTGCCGGTTTTTTTGCCTTTTTCAAGAAAAAACTGAAAAACCTCATTCTTTCATTAGAGTTTATTTATTGAGTTATTGTTAATAGTAAAAGTTAAATATATATTTTAGTTTTTTTATTGTTTATATACATGTTTACCTTTATAGAAATTTATTCCTAATTTTATTTATTGTTCTTACACTTTTTACTTCTTTTTTTTTGTAAAAGTTTTTTTTTTTTTTTTTAATCTTATTCTTTTTAAATGCTTATTTTAGGTTTTGACGACAGGATCCTCGCGATCTTCTTTCAGATACCTAGTTTATACTTGTGATATTTTCTATCATTGTAAGTTTATATTATTTTTATTATTGGTTATGTAAAGCTGTACAACAACTAACAAATGTAACCAAATAATAATAATAATAACTACACATTGCAGCTATTTTATTAGTAACTGGCCATTGGTTTTCACAGGCTTCTCAAAAACAAAATTGTCGCAAAGAGTCATAGCAGCGTGCGACGATATGCATGATATATTCTGGGGAATAGTTATATATCACTGGGACAGCATTTGTTGTTGGGTAAACACTGCCTCAGTTTTAGTGGCCTCCGTAATTACGGCTGAATGTCGTTTTGCTGTAACCCAGTGGGCACCCGACGTCAATCCGACGTCGGATTTACGTACGATTTTCATCAGCGATGTCAAAAGACCTATTCCGACGTTGTTCCGATGTCAGTAAAATGACGTCGGGCGATGTCTTTATCTCAACATCCCCTGACGTCGTTTCGATGTATTTTGACGTTGTTTCGACATCTTATAAAAGACGTCCAAAAAACGTAGCAGTACTGACATCGATCCAACGTCGATAAAAAGACGTCGGGCAACGTCATAATATTAACGTACTCCGATATCTTTTGACGTCTTCCGACGTCAATCCAACGTCCTTAAAACGACGTCGGAACAACGTCGTAAGACATCGCTGATGAAAATTTAATCCAAACCCAACAATATGTGTGCAATTGCGCTCTTCAATAATTATGTGAACTAAGCGTGTTTTTTTATTAATGGAAAAAAGTTTGAATAATGGTTGATAAAACATCATGAGGTTTTGTATGATGCACTAGCATAGTTTTTTAACTATTAACCATTTCGAGTATACATTTTTTATAATAAATAACTATTCGTTTTAATATTTATATAATATTTAAACAAAATTATTTCTTATCAAAGTAATAATTCCCAAATAGCTACAAGTATAAATTACTAAATAAACACATGGAACAATATGTCCCTGTGGTGTAGTGGTAAGCGCGTAGGATTTAGTATCTTATAGACCGATGTTCGACTACTGCTAAAGGCAATGTTTTTTAGTTTTCAAAAAACACGTTGGATTTACATCGGAATGCCGACGTCGCGCGATGTCAGTTTATCCGACGTCAAATAACATTTCCATTTCCAACGTAAACCCAACGTCGATCCGACGTCGAGATCCGACGTCGCTCGACGTTCGTTCGACGTCGAAATGCCCACTGGGAATCATCATTATTTTTAACGTTTTCTACTTTATCCGTGGTCATATTTATTTAATAAAAAATTACCCAGAAACAAACAAAGATTTTTTGAAAAATCAAAAAAGTATAAGAATGAATTCAAAGACAAAAAATTTATTATTAAAAATATGGGAAGTAATAAAAGAAATTGCAGGAAAAAAATAATTACAAAAAATCACAGCTATATCAAAAAGTTGCTAAAAGCTTTAATAAATTCTTCATAAACATGGAGAGAAGTTTGGCAGCAAATATAACTTGTTAAAAAAAGTTCCAACCGTATTTAAATAAACTCACTATGTAATAGAAGAGTTTGAACTCTCTGTAAATGAACTTTAAACGTACTTCAAATAAATAAGAGCACAGGGTTTAACAATATCAATATTAATGTTCTAAAAGCTGTTTTGATATTAATGAATAGTCATTTTTTTAATCACTAAAAACTGGTGTTTTTCTTGTCATTTAAAAATAGCAAGAGTAGTCCTTTTATACAAAAATAACGATGTTTCAATACCACCTAACTACGAACCCACAAATAATCAAAACATTGTTCTTTTCTGTTTTTCAAAGCCACTCAAGCTAATTATGTATTGTTATTGTATATGTATAATTATGTATTACATTAGTAACTGTCGTTACTAATGTAAAAAATTGTAAAATATATTTAGTTATTGTAATATTAAACGGCAAAAATAAAAAAAATAAAAAAATAAAATGTATAACAGGCATTATAAAAAGCATCTTAAAAAACATATCTTATTTATCAAAAAGTTTAGTTTTTGAATAGGGCAT